CTGTGTATGCTAGGTACACTCCTCTACTTCACAGTGAAAAGAGGTGGAAAAAACATTTCCTCTGCCTTCTTCAGGTGCGCTCTCCCTTCCCTGACTCCCCACCCCTTGCTCGAGAGCTGTAATCTGATATCCTGAAATTTACATCATATTCAAAGAAGTGTGTGCTGGAGACATGCATTATTCTCCACTCTGCTGTCTACATTACACCTGAGGTGCAGGTGTGTACTATTAACTGCACTTACCTGGGAGGGTAGAAAAAGAGGACGACTCTGCAGGTAAGGGGAACAGGACTGAAAGAGTAGTACTGAATTGCTTGTGGCACTGCAACAGTATAGTCCAGCCTGTTTAGTAAAAACACATCGAAAAGGTCAATATTTAGGGTTTGGTCTGTTTGGCAGCCCATTTTCACCACTGAAAGGAAAAAAACAAAAAAAAATTGCCATTAATAATTAGAAATTACAGGTTATTATAGAGAAAAAAATCAACTTACTAATTAAAATTTCAGAACAAATAACTCAAAATTGAGGAATTTGGACACATCAATGGCAAAAAAGATCCCATGTTTTTCCTTTTTCTCCAGTGGTGAAAACAAGCTTCCACAAGTCTGGGTCAGATTTTGGAGGGGGGGGGATTTGAGTAATCCGTGTCGTGTTTCACCCGTATCCTGTTATGCCTCTGGCTTGCTGCTGCAAGTTATAAGGAAGAAAATACCAAAAAGCCAGCTAATAAATGAGTTAAAGAAATTAAGCAAGAGCAAGTTAGGAATCTAAGGAGTTAAAATTTCTTTATGTGTGACCATGATTTATCCAACAATGTCAAAAAATATCACATCCAATAAGAAAAAAAGGGATATTTTCATTTTATTATCATTGGCTGCCTTTTCATTCATTTTAACTGCATTGCAGATTTTGTCCATACACTTGTGCACGTGACTAGCTTCATCGACACACTGCTTCTTTTTATTTTTCGTTTAGTTTTCATCGTTAAAACTGCCACACACAAGACAATACAAATTATTGTTGTCACAGCAGTATTACAACTGTGCCTTTGAATTCCTGGTATTCAAACTTAAGCCAATACTGCTTCTGTTTGGTTGGTATACTGGATGTTAAAGACTTCTTAATATATTTGGTAAACATTAAACAAGGAAGGTTGGGAAAGGCATCCTGTGTGTAGATTATGGAGGTGTTAAGTTTATACACCTTTATGTATTCACTTTTCAGCCATAATTCTCAGAGTCCCAGAGGCACTGACACGTGACTGTTTGTTATGGCCCTAGCAGGCCTGCACATTGTATGAGTGTGTGTTGCCTCGCTGTTGAGCTCAGCTGCCACTCATTTTCCTCAAGGAGCCAGTGTTCACCTGGCTCCACTCGGGAATCAGCCACCAAAGTATAAGGGCTGGGTCAATTAGTAGAGCTATAATGTTGTGCTTTGTTTCAGGGTTAAACCTTGAAATAAGTGTTGTTTTTTATGCTACTAGTAAGTAGTTTGCTGGCAGCAGAAGAGTTATGCTCTTTCTGTGGTGACCTTTGTAACAATGATGCATGTGCACAGACAATTATCAACAAGCACATTTGTGAGTGGATGGCAGAGGATGAGGATAAAATACACAGTTTGGGAACAACAGTCATGTGAAACCATACAGTAGTACACTCTTATTTATTCAAAGTAAGTAAGAGGGAAAGTAGAAGCCAGGAGCTGCTAATCAAATGCACTTAATGTAAGCACCTCTATAAAAGAAGAGGTTTTGGAAGTTTGCTGATCCAGCAGCCTGTAAAGCAATAAAGTACTTTCTTTTTATGCATCTAGTGAAACAAAATAACCACAAATGAAATTAAGGAATTACAAACAACATTTCAATCACAATGCAGGCAATGTCTATCGTAAATATATGACATTGATTTTCAAAAGATATTCCAGCTTGCTGTAACCATAAATAATACAGTGGCACTAACTTGTAATGATGCACGACTGATGCACTGGCATTTCTAGAGAATTATGTAAAAGGTTATGAGGCGCTCTGTCAGCCATTTTTGGCTAAATGTGTTTTCATTATGGATCGTGTGCAGTTTTAGGAAAAAAGTTAACAAGTGTGGAAAGATAGCACACGCATGTAACCTGTTTTTATATGTTTATTTAAATGTATGTACAAGATTTACAAAAAATGTGCTTTGAGTGGAGGTAACATGTCAGGTAACAATTCAGGACCAAAAAAAAAGAAAACTCAGACATGAACTCACACTTTTAGAATTTAACCTCAAACAGCATCCAGGGGTAAGAGAACACCCTTAAGCTCCATCAGCTTCAAGGTGAAGACCCTCTCAGTATTGTGCATTTTGTATCACACTAAGAGAAATTAATATTTAGAAGTCTCTGCGTAAAAATAACTGAAAACTTTAAAAACACAACATGACCTGACCTCTGAGGTCAGTTCAGTCAATGGCTTGCAACACTAGGGTGCAAAGGTTTGACTCGAACGAGGCGGGAGAGCCCGAGCCGCAGACCCTGACCCGGAGACTTCACTGCTGGACTCTGGGACGTGGAGGGACTTTTTCCAATTTGAGCTGGGAGGAAAAAAACAGACATAAATTGATAAATATGTTCAATGCAGTTAATTTTACAGGAACGTGTTCCAGCTGTGCTGCTGTTCAGTCATTCAGTACCTGGTGGGTTCCACTTGGGTATTCTTCCCGCTGCTGGGCTCAGGGAGGCTGCAGGCTTCGATGTGCAGACTGTGGAGGATGACGCAGGTCTTTTAGAGGCAGGTTTGGCCGTTGGAGGTGTTGTCACTGGGGTAGAAGCTGCTGTGAGAAGGAACAGCGCTCATTCAAATGTGAAATTATGATTCGCAGACAAAAGCTGATGATCCTCATGGGCTTACCTGCTGCTTGCGATTTAGGCTTTGATGGTTTTGATGGTTGCTTTTCTTTTTTAGAAGCAAGAATCTGTTTGTTTTTTTCACTCTTTGTTGCTTTTTCTTTCTTTTTAGTCTTGCTTGCTTTCTTTACTTTGAACTCGTCATCTTCGCTCTCAGATGGTTCACTGAAATCTTCATCGCTTTCTGAATCTGCAAAAGCATTATTGTTACTTTAAAGACACAAAAAGAAAGACAAAAAATGGATACAACTACTTAAAAAGCTATGGCAAAGTAACCTGGTGTCAGTTTGGGTTGATAGTCATCATCATCATCACCATCCTTGTTTTTCAGCTCCTCAGTAGCTTTGTAGGCAGCATTTCTCTGCCTGGCAGGGGCAGGCGACCCTTTCTCTGATGTGATTTTGTCCAAACCTGAAGAAAACCCATAATGATATTAAACAGAGGGAAGGAAATCAAATCTTCAACTACATAAATAAATAAACCTGCTAGACTTTACCCATAACTGCACCATCCACACTGCAGTTGGACAGGAGCAGAGAAGCTGGATCTGTGTTTTCATCTACTGGAAATTTGACATCTCCTGGATAAATTTATCAAGAAATTAAGCCAACATCCTTTTAATCACATGAAATTTAATGATCTTTTTAAAGAAAAAATCATACCTCTACTGACATGAGACTGGTCCCTCACTTCACCTGCATTATTGAGCGTGGAAAGCGTAATGGCTGCTTCGAGATCCCTCTCATACAGCTTTTCGTCCAGTGGCTTTCTGCACAAATGAATCAAGATTCAAGCCATGTTAGAGATTTTCACCTCGGAGCATTTCTAATGAATACAACTGATAAAAATGTAAAAGAAAAGACTAGTTTTCGGTGACATTTTTTTTATTTAACTCAGCATAATCAACATTTTGTTTTAATTTAGCTGATAAGCCAGTCATCATTTTATCAGTGATTTTGAACGGCTTTACTATTCAACCACCTTAATGAGTTAAAACATCACAGCGAGGCTTCAACCCAAACATTTATACGCAGTCTGCAGTATATTCTTTAAAAGTGAATGCTTACTTTCAAGCTGACTGCACACCCAGTGCACCTCTCAGTTAGGGCTGGGCGATATGGCCTAAAATCCATATCACGGTACAATTTGAAGCATGTGCGGTAACGATATATATCGCGATATATTCTTTTCTTCTGTATAACGTATTTTACACACTATAAGGCACACTTAAAATCCTTTAATTTTCTCAAAGATCGACGGTGTGCCTTATGTATGAATTCTGACCTCGAACCGATTTTATGTTACACGGCACATAGAAATCTGTCAAAAAATGTTTTAGTACGACTTTGGTAAGCTATGAAGGCGCATCGCTTGATGGATTGCCGGAGCATTACGGCTGCCGTAGTCAGGAGCCTCACGCAGTGTTGCCAACTCCTCAGTAAGGAAAATCACTATTGACTGAATGAAGAGGCGCTAGAAGTCGCTAAATGACGTCATCGCCTAATTTGCATAATAGGTCATGCTAATGTAATTGTAACCTACGCTGTTGGAGAGAGAAATAACATTGTGGAAGAGAAAGTGAGTAGAAAATGTCCTAAATGCATATAGAATTTATTTAGAACTACAAATTAAATTTCTTTTAGGAATTATTGTTTTTTAATGTCACAATTCCAACCCTGCTCCTTTATCCAGGCTCCTTTACCAGCAAAAGTGACCCGAAATTGGCACTCTGGTGGAGTTACTTTGTGTGTGTGGGTGTGTGTTTATTAGTAGCTTTAAACCTTGTGATCTACAAAACTGCATAACAGTAAAAGAAGAACTGACTGCGTTACAGTCAGTGCGGGAGCAGCGGCTTCGCTTATGCGCGATTCATTTGCAGTTTGGACGCATAGGTGTGAACATCTCCTGCCCTGATAGCAGCTGGGGGAGGACTATCCTCCGCCTGTGAGCGCTTTGGCACGGGTGAGGTGCCCACGGCAAACTTCAGTTAGGAGTACAACTGAGATAATCCATCCACAATACGAAGTTAGTCATTAATATACTGCAACAACATGGGAACAGAGCAGCTGCGAGAGAATTCAGCATTAATGAATCAATGGTACGGAAGTGGAGGAAGCGTAGTTTTTGGCTTTCCCCATATTCCAAAAGTGCTTTGTCTCTTTGCTATTACTGTCGCTTGGCATAATTTGCAAATGATATTGTTTGCAGCCGCTGCAATGCTTTCGACCACAAAAGGCGCAGCTTGATGACACCATCAACATGCGATATCGCGGTAGAGCGGTATAGTCAAAATCTCTATCGTTGGCCAAATTTATATCGTTTATACCGTATACCGTTTATACCGTATACCGTTTATACCGTATACCGTTTATACAGCCCACCCCTACTCTCAATCTAAACTAACAGTGATGAACTCAAAATGAACACATAATTTTGAACAAAGTTATAATTTCCACTGCTTATCTCCAACCCTTAGTTACTCATCTCAACAAAATATGAACCCATTTTGAAAATCTATTAATGCACTGGCGCTAGACCCGAGTATCTTTACTTTTGGACTGGTATTTTTTTACATATCATATCTACACCTACAACAAAAGACCAAAAATCTCTGAGTTTAATCCTTTTAATCATCATGTGGTGCAATATTGTCATTGCTAGGGCCACAATGACTTAAAATAAGCAAATGTGGACATTAGCTTATTAGTATTATTGCAGGGTCTACCTTACAATATAAATCGCCTTGAGGTGACTGTTGTTGTGATTTGGCGCTATATAAATAAAACTGAATTGAATTGAATTTCAAACCATAAGACCAGTGTTTCCCAAAGTGTGGCCTGCAGCCCCCTGGTGGGCCTTGAAGGTAGTGCAGGTAAGCCAAGAATCTGACCTAAATACTACGTTATTCTTAAACGTTGGGCCCATTTTGGATCTTGGATGCATCTTATAGTTCATTGTTAGTGAGCAAAAACTATACTAGTGTTACCAGCTGTAATTTCAGAGGATCAGCTAAAAGGAAACACTGCACAGGGCCATGTGATGACCATAGGCTTGGGTGGGCCGCTTAACATTTTTGGGCTTCAAAATGGACCACGGCCATCTTAAGCTTGGGAATGGCTGCATTAGACAATGACACACAAAATGAATTATGTTAAACTATGATTTTGGTCGGTGTGCAGGTTAGTTTGAAACAGGCTGTTTGCAGCACAGAAGCACTCTCAGATTACGATGAAAACGTTACATAAAGCTATCTTCTTTAAATGCTGTCCTCAACATTGCTGCCTGTAACTCTATCTTTAAACTCTCTCCGGTACGAAAAAAAAAAAAGTTCTTATACGCGAATACATTAATACAGACTCTCCCTGTACAGCCATTATCATACATTTACGGTACTGTGCTTGTGTCTATTTGTAAAGATATTTGCCTACTGACAGTAACCAATGCAAACGCACTCCTATACATGCCCACTTCATGCTTCTCAAGGTGGATGACACTGTGTATCAACCAAATGCTGACGAGCTGAGAAGTGGGCCAAAGCAGGCAAAGGAGCGACAAAGGAACGCAAAAAAAGAAAAGCAAAGGTACAAGATGAAAAGCAAAGACAGTGGCTGCAGTGGACACTTGATTATATTTAATGCTCGGCTTCACTTCAGCTCTTTTGTGCTTTAGAACCTCATTCTTAGCGGATAGCGGATAAACCAAGGGCAGCACAAGCAAGAGTAACCCACAGAGTGGTGGCACCCCCGCCCCCTGCAGGTAGATAGGTAACCTGTAGCTGCCTAAAGGACTGAAGCAAAACTTCCCCATATTGCAGGATATACACAAGTGGCGCGCCCTCTGCTGGAAACAAACTAAACAGCAGTAAAACTGGTAACATTTATTCACAGCAGGTTTCATGAGCCCTCTTACCTGATTGTCACAGCCAGTGTCAGATTAACTCGCCACCTACCTGTTCTTCTGGCTTGATTGTGAGGTGGCCTCTTGACTGGAGGATTTGCTTAATGATTTCTTCTGTTCTTGTTTCACATCCTCCCTGACCTTTTTGCTGGGTGGGGCCTTCACACAGGCAAAATCCTCATCTATCACAAAATGAGGACAAAGGACAAAGATACCATTGTTAAGACTGGAAAGGGAGTCCTTTGGATTACACATGTGCACCCTACTGTACTACAGGTTTCCTGGAATTTAAGAGTCTTCTGCAAAGCAACAGTATCTAATAGCACGTTTTTTGTTGCAATGTCTTTTTCCTGATCACACCACTTTGTTTTGCACGAAATAGCACCACTGCAGTGACTGCGATTTATCAAGTTAACACGAGACATCTAGGCAAGGCAAGGCAAGGCAAGTTTATTTATATAGCACAATTCAACAGCAAGGTGATTCAAAGTGCTTTACAGAGACATTAAAAAACAAATAAATAGGATGATTTAAAATGGAAAAGAAGAAGAAGAAGGGAACAGTAGATAAAATCAGTAGTTAAAATGTAAATTTTGAAATTTAAGCTTAAAAGTAAAATAGTGCGGATTTGGTGCTTTATTCAAATGCAGCTGAGAATAGGTGAGTCTT